TTGCAGCGAGAAAGAACCAGTGCTGCCAGATGGGGAAGGCTGTAATCCTCCAGATCAGTTACAAAAATCCTCCAGATTCCTCCAAATCCTATTGGTAGATATCGAAAGGCAGTCTTCGGCGCTGCGGGGGGCTATACCCCCAAAACAAGTTTCACTAATTTCTAAAAACTCATCGGATTTCGAATCCTTTAGTACTGCTGTGCAGTTTAAAAGGGGGAATATTTGTTTCTGGTCCCTAAAAAGCTGTTTCTGGCACCTAATTGCTGATCAGCCCCAAAATGCTTATTCGACCCTAATATCTGAATCTGGCACCTAATTGCTTCCACACAGCCTGAAGTTGCCAGATCGTCTAGTTGAACTCCGTATTTGCTGTTTGCTGATTCACGAAATAAAACATTTTTACTTTTAAGAAATAAATACTTTTAAATATTTAAATGACATTGTTTTTTCAAACAAATTTATATTATTTCCTTACTTAAACGTCATATACAATGCTGAGATCACTACGGGGCTGTCTTAGAGTGTAGCTGCACTGGCAACCTTTAGACTAGACTCCAGGGGTCATTATACCAGAACAACTTGATTCTACCAGCCAGTAGTTCATTTTTCTACTAGATTGGTGCTACGCTCAGCATTTAGGTGCCAGATTCAGAAAAAAGAGTAAGGCGTACCGATGAATTGGTGCCAGAAACAGCTAATTAAGGTCATTTTCCATGATTGGTGCTGGTATCCACCAAATAGGTGCTGAGGACCAATTTTGGGGCGAGTCAGCTTTTAGGTGCCAGAAATAGCTTTTCTGGGACGCAATTAAATGGCGTCCGTTTAAAAGATACTTTTTCTTGTAAAAGTTGTTTAGTTTTCGTTTAATCTAAAAAAACGAAAATTTTCGTCGTTTACGGGCGCTGCAGGGGTACCGGGGGCATTAGCCCCAAATGTCCCCCTTAGATCCGCCAGTAGTTTGGTACCCTCGTCCTTCGTAGATATAGCTACAGACTGAGACATTCTGCAGTCTCACGGTGATAAAGAACGTGATATATCCTAACGGGCAAGGCCCTATATACCAGGTAGGGTCGTCCGGCGATTCTACCTTTTCGTGACGTCAGCTCGTGACGTCATTTGGAGTCAAGTCTCGAAGCCCCGTTCAATCCCCATGTAAATGAGCGATTTTCGAAACACTGTAGAATGAAGTCTGCACAAGATATATCAAACCTAAGTATCTTATCTGAAAGAGCAGTCAATTTTCTGCAAGTTATCTATTACGTATTTTTCGCTAAATCTTTTGCTTTTTTCACAAAAGCGTAAAATGTCCCCCCATGTCTCCGCAGCCTCCCTGCCGCCGGCCGCCGCGCGGTCGCGGTAGTGTAGTGGTTAGCGTGCCCGCGCAGTATTCCAAAGGTCCCGAGTTCGAATCTATGCGGTGCGGAACTTTAATTGCAATTCCAAGCTGAATATACTCACATCCATAATAAATTATTATTCGTATAGCTAAACTGTCACCAAGCTATCCATATAAATTGACTTCACCCAAACTATCGGCAAGATTCTATTAAAATATAAATTCAAATATGGCGGCTTGGACTGCCGCGTGCGTTAGGCTCCGCCCACATGCGTGACGTCATTCGTGTTAGTGGACACACGCGGAGATAGGGGACGACATGGGCCTGCTAACGGGTAGGGTGACGCTGGGCAGGAAAATGCCTTTTTAGTCTTGAATGTGTTATATTTTTCCATGAAATTGAATATAACAATCGGGCGACAAATCCTCCAGCTTTTCCTCCAGAATCAAAAATCCTCCAAAAGCGAAATTTGTCCGCAAATAGAGTTCAAAATCCTTCAGCTTTGCGGAAATCCTCCAAATATGGCAGCACTGTAAACAACTGTGTTGGCTACGATATCCTTTCTCGTTTCGATTTTCAGATTCAGCCTCCAATTGAAACCAGTGCGAATGAGCTGATTGGCCGTTTATATATGCTCAGTATTCATTTCAACATCGATTGCGAATTGCATACAATCATGAAAATAACCGCATGAGCCACTAAATTGTTAACATATCGGTGGGATGAGAATACCTGTACAGGTTCGGAATACCTGTTCAGGGTGCAACAAGGCAAAGGAGACAAAGGAGACCAGGAGCGAGCCAGTGCCACGGTACATAGAATACTGCCAGTGCCAGATACCGACTGACTCACTGGCTGGCGAGCGACCCCGACCTCGGCTCGGCGCAGTCACGTGACAACACACGTTTCGAGTACGCGGGCACCCGCACCGGCAGCCGCGCGGAGCAGCCTCGAACCGCGGCGCTAGTCTCGTCCAAGTACTAGTATACACTGCTACACTGTACCGCCGCGCGACACCGCGACCACCGAACGGACAGTGGAAACTACAAAATTAAATGACACGAATCACAGTGAATAACAAATCCAACATAGCCCCCCCACTCGAAAATATTTTGAAAGTAAGTGTCTACAAGAAACTAAACGTGCTTTTGCAACTGACATCACACAATGCACAGTTTTCAGCTCCCGCTGGAGCACCACAATCACTAGTATCCGACTCTCCACAGGGAAGCGTACCATCACTGTCTCTTGAATTGCACGCGACGCTTTGCTGCTTGGGACGCAGCTCGCGACATCTTGCAGATCGCGATGAACCGCAGCTCACGACGTCTTGAAGCTCAAGAAGACGACCCTAGTCACAGAATGACCATCTCGTGCCTGCACGCGCTCGTAAGTGCAGGCGAGTCTGCGCAGAATGCAAACTCATGGGACCAGGGCGACTCTCACTGCTACAGCTGAAGAGCCAGCCGTCGGGGAAGTGGGGCTCTTGGGCGTCGATCTCCTCTGGTGGGCCAAGCCAGACGGCGTGGGTCGTCTGCGGTGGTGGTCCAGGTCTGGCCAGTGAACGTCCTGACCAGCCTCTGTCAGTTCTCAGCCCACACCAGGTGTACCGTCACTGCCGTGCAGAAACGAGGTTGGTCATAAACGGAGGGCTTGTGCGCCCTGTACACGGAGCGTGACACCAAGTACACGGACCGTAATTCCGTCCCGACATCGCACACGCACACACTCTCAGGTGAGAGGAGCACACGGGTCGTGACACTTGGGTGAGTAAACGGAATGACGCTCAAGTAGTTTGGCTCCTGATTGCGGTGTTCAGCTGTCTCGACCCTATGGATGGGCTGCTTCTAGCTGATACAGCTTGCTTACTGGCCTGCTAGTTCTCTTTCCTCGAATGTCAACCATTGCTGCTCGACTGTGACCATCCGGACCTTCAGAACACGACGAAGGGACACGATCCCCTAGCCAGAGGCCAAGTTTTAGACAAATCCATTTACGTTCATTTCAGTTGTGCACCGCGACGTGACTCCTATTTTTTATCACTTTCTCGAGGCGCTCGCGGTACGCCAGCACTGCTTTCTAGCGCATCTCGACGGTGATCTCTGCGAAGGCGGCTCTGAACCGACCGTGTAACTCCGGAATGTTAGCCGGCTGCGTCACGTATCCTACGACTTCACAAACCCCCACATGAAAAATTCACACGCGGGGTGAGGTTGGGCTTCGCCCAAACTGCCCTGGCTACCGCACTCGCCCAATTTGCCCTGGCCACCGCGCTAGCCCGACCTCACCCCGCGTGTGAATTTTTTCATGTGGGGGTTTGTGAAGTCGTAGGCATACGTGACGCAGACGGCGAACATTCCGGAGTTACACGGTCGGTTCAGAGCCGCCTTCGCAGAGATCACCGTCGAGATGCGCTAGAAAACAGCGCTGGCGTACCGCGAGCGCCTCGAGAAAGTGATGAAAAACGATAGTGGTCACGTTCAGGTGCACAACTGAGCTGTACGTGAATGGATTTGCCTAAAACTTAATGAATATCATCCCAAACGTTGATCTACATTGTGTGAAAATGTCATCCAATTTGATAAAGAATCATAAGAGTTATTCAAGTTTCAAATAGGGGGTTTTACGTGCGTCACCCTGTACTTTGTGCTCCTGGCGCTTGAACATGAAAAACTGAACTACATGAAACGCACGAAGACCACGCAGTATGCAGTACACACTTCTAAAGAACACAATTCTAAAGAATAGTGTTTTAACTATTGACCTTCTATCTAACTATTGCGCTACCGTAACCTTCGGTTACGGTAGCGCTCATGGTTGGCAGTCGTGACGCGCACGTGACATTCATTTGTTAAATTTCTCAACAGGTTTTAGAGGCTGATTAGTGGGCAGATAAATTCAATTAGCTATTAATGCTTGCAGTAGCGGCGGAACACCTTCAATTAAGGGGGGGGGGGCACTGCCAACTTTTGGTCCCATTCTTTCCATGCAACGCTCATAGGACTAATGTTGAAATGCCAATATCAAAGGGAGGCACGGTGCCCCGGTGCCCTCCCCGTTCCGCCGCCTATGAATGCTTGATTATACAAACATTCAAGAATCTACATCATTCAATTCTAGCCAAAATCACGCGGCACTCCCATGATTCGAACTTACGACCCTCGGATCCGTAGCCCGATACGCTACCGAGGACCGCGCGCCGACGATCGGAGAGGCGCTTCGAGGGTGCTGGCTAGAGGTGGCAAAAGATGAATATTTTGGGAACCAGACTCGAACCAGACCCGGCTGGACATTTCTGGAACCAGTCAGACCCGGTCTTAGTTGGAATCGGAACCAGTTGGACCCGTTCCCCAAAAGTCGATTACTACAAAGTACTTGTAGGTATCATTAGTTTTATCTTGTAAAACAGCCTATTTCCAACTGGGAATACTCATGAGCTACTGTGTGCAAAGAAACATTCACTTCATTCACTTCATATTTTGCAATAATGTGTAGTGTGCAAGATGTATAGTTTATGGTAGGACCCGGTTGGACCTGTCAGAAAATTTCCAGGAACCGGTCTGGACCCATATGGGTCCAAACTGGTTCTTTGGACCGGGTCCTCGGGTCCATATTTTGCCACCTCTAGTGCTGGCGTGCAGAGAAATCTTTACCCTGTAGGGGAGAGTGGGGAGAAGTGGGACAAAAATTCAATACCAACTTTGAGCACCTGTACATACCCACACAGGCAAATTATATAGCTGCGAATGGTGTCATTGGAAAGAGCAAGTAATTCTCTACAAGACTTGTTATTCTGAGACTTTTATAATCCATAGAGTAACTAATATTTCATCATAAATAAAAAGTTGCAATGGTGGCGAAATGGGACAGGCACAGGAGAACTGGGATATGTGGGGTGGAGAAATAGGACATGCTGGGTAGAAATGGGACAAGGACCTGGGTTGCTCGCAAATGAATACAACAAATCTTAACTTTTCGTTTTACCTCGTCGTAAAAGCATATCCTGTCTAGTAACGGGGCCCTCCAGTTAAATGTGAGACCCTTCCTACCGATAACGGAGCCCCTCTTACCAGTAACGGCGCCCTTCCAGGTGATAACAGAGACTCTCTGGCCAGGTGTCGATCCTAGCAGTGCTGGCTCCCTTCTGGTCGATGCAATGCCTTGATCTTTTGAGGATTTCCCCATAGTATTAATCCTCCGAAATCCTAGTCTAGAGCAACAGTTGCTCTAATCGACTCAATTCCGGCCCATTCCCATATATGCTGGTGGTGATGTAAATAAAACACTATGGATACATATGGCATAAATAAAAATAATAAAATGTCTCCCATCAACAAGGATGTATGTAATTCCGGTTTATGAAGCGGTGCATATATTTAGTTGGATCCACACACAATATCACCGACGTGCCTTACCGATCCTCAAATGAGACAAACATGACACGTCCAAACAGAACGTTTGTATCTGTACTAGCCTAATGACACTGAATGACTAATCAAACGTAAGAACTAATAGACACTTAGTGTATGCACAGCCAAATTCGGCGAACAATGATGCTGTACTGTGTCAGACTGCCAGTCTGAGGGGTCACTTACAGGTCACGGCACAGGTCACACACATAGGTGACCTGCCCAGGATCGACATCCGTGCAAGGAACGCACGCCCACGCCTTACAGGATACACACTGAATCCACTCCTCGGCAGACCTGTCAAACCGCATGCCGCACACCAGGCATGTGACGTCACTGTCGGAGCCAGGACGCTCCTTGCTTTCTACGACTAGCTTCCTTGCAGCTTTGGCGGAACATTTGCCTTTCGGCTTCTTGGCATTTTTGCTCTCCATAACACACTTTAGGCGTTTCATTTCTGGTGTCGAGTTGGCGTGTCGAGCCACAATGGACGTTCCACTCTTCCGCTTTCCTTGACGTGCGGCGGCTTTCGGATATCCTCGGATCTGCTCTGGTGATGCTATTTTCCAGCTCAGCGACCCTGGCTCTGAGCCGACGAGCTTCGTGTCGCCGCCTCGCTGGCTGGACGGCCCTGGCTCCGAGCCGACGAGCTCCGTGTCGCCGCCTCGCTGGCTGGACGGCCCTGGCTCCGAGCCGACGAGCTCCGTGTCGCCGCCTCGCTGGCTGGACGGCCCTGGCTCCGAGCCGACGAGCTCCGTGTCGCCGCCTCGCTGGCTGGACGGCCCTGGCTCTGAGCCGACGAGCTCCGTGTCGCCGCCTCTCTGGCTGGACGGCCCTGGCTCCGAGCCGACGAGCTCCGTGTCGTCGCCTCGCTCGACGGATGGGTCTGGTCCGGCTTCTTCCGGAAAAGGATTGTCCGTCACCGCAGATGGAAGGAACGCTTCATCCGAGAAGATGCTCCTGTCTAGTGGCCAGATGCCGCACGCTTTAAATCCTGCAGTGATGTTGGTCGGCGTTGCCGCCTTCATCCAGGCCATTCCGATAAGATCCGCCATGTGATGGATGGTGATGTTCCTTCCCGGATTTTTAAGCATCCAGCCGTTCGCTGCGGAGTTGAAGTATGTCTTCAGCGGACCGTACACTGCCCTGTCCAGTGGCTGCAGTTTCTGGGATGTGTGCGGTGGCAGCGTGACTATATACACGCCGTTCTTCTTAGCGTGTTCCAGAGCCACGTAGCTGATATGGCTGACATGATTGTCCATTATAAGCACAGTGGGACTTTGCTTGGATGAGTGGCTGTACTTCACGAAGTGATCAAGAACGTGCGGAAAGTTCTCACTTGTCATCCAGCCTGACTGGTGGACAAGACCACAAGATCCTTCTGGTGCCCCAATCATCAGCGAGTCCCTCAAAGTCTTCCTGGGAAAGACGAAGACCGGAGGAAGTGCCTGGCCGCTGGCTGACACTATCCCCACCATCGTCACGAGCTCTCCACGCTCTTGGGACGTGACTTGGCCGACTTGCTTCGCGCCTCGCTGTGCCAAAACCCTCGGTGGTTTTTGGACGGTTGTACAGCCCGTTTCATCGAGATTGTAGATTTGATGTCCGTTTACCTTTGTCTCTTTAAGCACACCTTCCAGCGAGTTGAAGAAGCCATTGACGTTCTGCGGGTTGAAAGCTGCAGATCGAGCGAGACTCGTCGCTTCCGGAGTTCTCAAGGTGAGGTCAGGGTGACGTGACATGAAACCCTTCAGCCATTCTGCGCCCGCGGTCTTCGCACTTTTCCATTTTTCGGGGGCCAGGCTATTCTTCACTGCCAGCTCATAGGCCAGATCCCTCGTCTGTCGTGTTGTCAGACCATAGAACATGCCTGAACATTTTAACAGAAAGTTTTTCAGATCGCTCTCCTGTGCCGTATTGAATACCTGCGCGTGCGTATAGGCCGGTTCCATTCTTGCTTCAGTATCGTTCTGATACTTCACCACATACCTGGCCAGGGTTGACTTTGAAATGTCAAAATCTTCTGCTACCTTTCGAATGGACTTCTCACCATCGACGACCCGCTTTACAGCATGCTCCATGACTCTCCCTGGAGTCAACCCTATAAGGGATTTCCTGGCATACTGTCTGGGCATCCTCAGAGGCAGGTAGGTAGATAAGGAGCGCGATGGGCAACTGAAAAGGACAGAAGGGATTTGGAAGAGTCATGAACAAGGAAATGATAAAGAAACGGACGGTCGTCAAGTTAGATGTAAGTGAATCCTAATCTATAATCTAAGATTCGGAATCAGGTGAGCCCCTACGATTTGGACCAAACTTGGTCAGTGGATAGTACGTAACGTCCTGATTACGATGCACCCAAAATCTAAGCTCGGCCCGCCATATTTACGAAGTTACGGATGTTTGAATTTCAAGGTCATTCGGGAGAGCCCCTACGATTTCCGTCAAAATTTGTGTACGGACACTCTAGATGCTCCTCATTACGAATATCACAAAATTTAAGCTCGGCCCGCCATATTTATGAAGTTACGGAGGTTTGAATTTCAAGGTCATTTGGGTGAGCCCCTACGATTTCCGTCAAAATTTGTGTACTGACACTCCAGACGCTCCTCATTACGAATATCGCAAAATTTAAGCTCGGCCCGCCATATTTACGAAGTTACGGAGTCACAAAGTTACGGAATTTCAAGGTCATTCGGAGAGCCCCTCCGATTTTCGTCAACATTTGTATGCGGACACATTACATGCTCCTCATTACGAATATCATAAAAGCTAAGCTCGGCCCGCACTATTTCAAAAGTTAGAGATGTTTGAATTTCAGTGAGTTTCAAACGTCAGTAACTTTTGAAATAGTGCGGGCCGAGCTTAGCTTTTATGATATTCGTAATGAGGAGCATGTAATGTGTCCGCATACAAATTTTGACAAAAATCGGAGGGGCTCTCCGAATGACCTTGAAATTCCGTAACTTTGTGACTCCGTAACTTCGTAAATATGGCGGGCCGAGCTTAAATTTTGCGATATTCGTAATGAGGAGCGTCTGGAGTGTTCGTACACAAATTTTGACGGAAATCGTAGGGGCTCACCCAAATGACCTTGAAATTCAAACCTCCGTTACTTCGTAAATATGGTGGGCCGAGCTTAAATTTTGTGATATTCGTAATGAGGAGCATCTAGAGTGTCCGTACACAAATTTTGACGGAAATCGTAGGGGCTCTCCCGAATGACCTTGAAATTCAAACATCCGTAACTTCGTAAATATGGCGGGCCGAGCTTAGATTTTTTGTGCATCGTAATCAGGACGTTACGTACTATCCACTGACCAAGTTTGGTCCAAATCGTAGGGGCTCACCTGATTCCGAATCTTAGATTATAGATTAGGATTCACTTACATCTAACTTGACGACCGTAAGAAACGGCCACTCTTTCAAAACATAATTCAGTAAGGTAGGTACGGTAACCTATATGCTTGATCAAGTATCAGTTTTGCAATTCCTTTTGGCCCCTCCTTGGAGATTTTCTGGATCCGTTCCTAACTGCACTATACCTATCCTACAAACACTGAAAGGGGATTTATAAATCGGCAGGGGAGACCTGGGACACCTTGTCCCAGTTCTCCCCTGGCGACCATTGTTGATGAACAAACATGTCAATGCAATTTCAAGCAACACGTCGGCTTCAAGCATTGGCATGCATCAGAACATTTCCTAATGATCGCAAATATTGGTTAAAAGAAATGATTGGGTCGTTACATTGCTTGCGTTTGTACTCAAGAAACCAGTAAAAAACGCAACTTTTCAGGAGCACTCACGTATCGTCGGGATGGCGCGGCAGAAGAGGAAGTTGTTGACATAGTGGTGAAGATAACCCATCGTAATGCGTAAAAATGGAAAAATAAATTAAATCGGCTGCCTCTTCTCTAAATGACAGACCCTGTCCCACTTCTCCTGTGTCCCAGTTCTCCCCACTCTCCCCTACGCCGTAGAAGATCGGCTGGGTTTCGTGAAAAATGGTAGAGGAATTGTCAAAAGAATTCATCGAACTATCATTTGAGACTAAGAACCGTTGATTCCTTCAAAGGTTGACCGAGATATCGCTCGCCGAAAACAGGCCATTTAACATGTAAACCCCATGGGCTGGTAGGAAATGTACGCCGTGGAGCAGCAGTGCTACCAACTAACTTCGGCGGGGGTCGGATAGAACACGGCATGAGCTGCCAGGATCGTGGCAACTTCACCGACCTTCGTTTTTGGCAGATCGAAGTCGCCCAGTGCTCCCTCAACGTTCACGGTCGTCAAGTTAGATGTAAGTGAATCCTAATCTATAGTCTAAGATTCGGAATCAGGTGAGCCCCTACGATTTGGACCAAACTTGGTCAGTGGATAGTACGTAACGTCCTGATTACGATGCACCCAAAATCTAAGCTCGGCCCGCCATATTTACGAAGTTACGGATGTTTGAATTTCAAGGTCATTCGGGAGAGCCCCTACGATTCCCGTCAAAATTTGTGTACGGACACTCTAGGTGCTCCTCATTACGAATATCACAAAATTTAAGCTCGGCCCGCCATATTTACGAAGTTACGGAGGTTTGAATTTCAAGGTCATTTGGGTGAGCCCCTGCGATTTCCGTCAAAATTGGTATACGGGCATATTACATCCTCCTCATTACAAATATCATAAAAGTTAAGCTCGGCCCGCCATATTTACGAAGTTACGGAGTCTCAAAGTTACGGAATTTCAAGGTCATTTGGAGAGCCCCTCTGATTTTCGTCAAAATTTGTATGCGGACACATTACATGCTCCTCATTACGAATATCGTAAAAGCTAAGCTCGGCCCGCACTATTTCAAAAGTTAGAGATGTTTGAATTTCAGTGAGTTTCAAACGTCAGTAACTTTTGAAATAGTGCGGGCCGAGCTTAGCTTTTACGATATCCGTAATGAGGAGCATGTAATGTGTCCGCATACAAATTTTGACGAAAATCGGAGAGGCTCGCCCAATGACCTTGAAATTCCGTAACTTTGTGACTCCGTAACTTCGTAAATATGGCGGGCCGAGCTTACATTTTGTAATATTCGTAATGAGGAGCATCTAGAGTGTCCGTACACAAATTTTGACGGAAATCGTAGGGGCTCTCCCGAATGACCTTGAAATTGAAACATCCGTAGCTTCGTAAATATGACGGGCCGAGCTTAAATTTTATGACATTCGTAATGAGGAGCACCTAGAGTGTCCGTACACAAATTGTGACGGAAATCGTAGGGGCTCTCCCGAATGACCTTGAAATTGAAACATCCGTAACTTCGTAAATATGGCGGGCCGAGCTTAGATTTTGGGTGCATCGTAATCAGGACGTTACGTACTATCCACTGACCAGGTTTGGTCCAAATCGTAGGGGCTCGCCTGATTCCGAATCTTAGATTATAGATTAGGATTCACTTACATCTAACTTGACGACCGTTCAACGTTCAGGCGGGACGATTAGACGCTCACGGGGCTCTGCTCGTTGTTTAGATCTCCCAGTGTCGCCCCGCACCCGTACGCGAGTAGCGCCACCAGTTCGTCACCTGTTAAAGGGACCCTCCCACCTTCAAAAAAGTTAATGAATTGGCACGAAAGTGATGTCGCTCGGTTCAGAAAGAGCGAAAACGAATATCTACCAAATTTCATCGAAAAATATTCACCGGTTTTCAAGATATTAGACTTTTACTTTTGTTTACTTTTTGGGATCTCCGCTGTTCCTATCGACTTTATTTGAAAGTGCGGCATTTGTTGCGCGCAAAGCAGCATATACCACCGCGTGCTACCAAACGTTTTAGTAAAAGATTTAAAAATCGTTAGATCTCCGCTGACGTCACAAATTCTAAGGGGGCATACCAATGCACTAGCCCCTTAGAATCCGAAAACTGCAAGTTTGAAATTCCATATCTCCGAATTAAAGCATTTGTCGATGTTGTGAGTGCCCAAACCGGTATTTGCAGGCCATGGCCACCAATTTGGCTATCTCAACTCAAAACTAGTGTTAAGGTGGGAGTGTCCCTTTAAGAAGAGGAAAATAAATTAACGATTTCCCGACACAGCGGAGCCCGGAGAATAAAAATTAATGTACTATGGTTACTCCCGTTGAAGCCTCAGCCCTTCGGGATCAGTCAGGAGCGCGGCTCACTGCCGTCCCGTGGTGCAGCTGAGATGTAACGTGATTGCATGTATTCACCGGTTCAGGATGCAATATGCAGTATTGCTTTTACTGTTGAGTAAAGATACATCAGATATTTGCATACGGATAGAATCAAAATGATAAATCACAGGTTGTAATTATAAGTACATACGCATCTTAAAGTCATGAATGAACATAATGTGCTATTTTCGCCGGGACCAGTTAATTTCGCCGGATGAAAATTTGACCTCAGGTCAAGGTCATGACTTGACCGGAAAAGGTCATGTTGCATATCAGTCGATGCGTCTCAACAAGACAAACACAATGAGATCATCCCCAGCGTCCTCTTTCCAATCGCGAGTTATTGGCAAAAATATGTTTGTAGCCTCTAATGACCTCGGATGACCTTTCTAGAGGCTATCAGCAAAAATGACACCTTGGTCATCACTGGTGGTCCAAATCATTGTGATTCTGAAATATTTGGACTGTTCCTATGCGTACACATGGATCTAGAGGCATTTTCATTTTTCTCCATTGACTTGTAATGGAAAGGTCACGCAACTGACCTGACCTTAGGTCACGAATATAAAAAATCCGAGATATACAAATTGTAGGCGCCCATAACATCATGCAATCCACCAAGTTAAACCTTTCTGACAAACACTGCAGGCTGGACATGTTTGCAAACTTTTTTAGGCTTGGTCAGTTAACTTGACCTGGTGACCTGACCTGACATGACCTGGGGTCAAAAATTTCACACATCGTCCAAAATTGATGTACCAAAAGCTACCCCAAGCGGCACGGCGCTACGCGCCGCGGTTTTTTATTCACACGCAAAAAAAAAAACGCGACAGGATGGTAACATATGCCCCCCCCCCCCCACTGGGGCGAAGGTTAAAACACTGAAATAAATTCATAAAATAAAGATATTTGCTGTAAAAGAGATTAGGTGCAGATTGGTTCAAATCAGGTGCAGTCGCCGGATAGCCCGTCGTGAAAACAGCTAATATGACCTTTTCATGTCAGGTCATGACCTTGACCTCAGGTCAAATTTTGAACTTGGATCAACTTTTAGTGCTTATTCCAGAAACCGCTAAAAGAGCCATCGAATACTCTGAGTTATGGGCGAATTTGTAAAAAAAGGGTAAATTTGACTTTTGATGACCTCTGGTTTTAGGTCTTTGACCAGACCTAAAAAATGACTAGAGTACTTTCGTCATGATTTTTGACACTATTTCAAATGCCGGTTACCGCATCTTACATGCCGCTTATTCCTGTGCCGTTAAGTGGCACAGGAGCCGAGCAGTGGTGTTCATTGAAGAACCCTGTATCATTTTATAGATCAAAACGCTGATAATAAGGGTGCCGGTAATTTGCCGCAAGAACGGCCTCTTTCTGTTCCTCTCAATGCCGCTGGAAGAAGGCGGTAAGGTCGTAGAGTACCGATACAATCACATTTTTGCTTATTTTTCTATTCTTAACCATTTTTCAGTTTCTATTTACTATCAAACGGCAATTATTTTCAACAAATATAATGTATTATAAAAAGAAATGTAGCTCTCCTTTTTGTGCATCATTTAAGAGCAAAAAAAAATCAAATTGCTTTATTTTTCCTTTTAGACAATGAAGGGTGGTTGCCTTTCCCCATCAATGGAACAAATGTGATTGAAAAATATTTGCTAGCGTTAAAAAGACATTAACTATTTGGCATAGTGGCAAAGTCACCCCTTTTTTCAGTTTAACTTTGCCACAACTCATTTTCTTTAAAAATTTACATTTTAACCCTCGCATGTGTAGGGGGGAGGTCGGATGGACCCCCCCCCCCATGGTTTTTCGCGAATAACTCACGTAAAAAGCGGCCGATCGCGACGAAACTTTCAGTACCCTCGCCTTGATCAATTATACACCTACCCTGAAAATTTTATGACCCTGACCCAAATGACCTTTGACCTGTGACCTCTTTTCCGAGACCATGTTTGGCCGGAATCGCGATTTCGCGTATGTCGGCTCGCATTAGCCGCGCGTTTGCAAGCTTTTCGTGGTTTCAAACGTTCAAACATGTGATTTGATGTTGCTCCCATACATTAGGGTGGGTGTCAAGGTCACCTGAAGGTCAGCTCAGGTCATTGACCTTTGGTGACCTCGGGTGACCTCGGTTCGCTTTTTCGAGTTTAACATGTTTCTAGGCTAGTTTTTGGAGCTGAATTCGAATTTAGCAACCATTTGAACATTTACGAAGTAGTTTTGGTGACTTCGTAACATGTTACGAAGCTGTCAGAGGCGGTTGACACGTACTACGAATACCCGTCACGACGCCTACTGGTTGACCTGACCTGACCTGACCCGACCTGGTCTAAATGCTTAAAAACATCACCTGTGATCAAAACTAACACGATATTCGTCATCAGCACCCCGAAAAAAACCCTTAGCAGCCACACTTTACGACTTTCTAACAGGTCCCGATTTTCCCGACTTTGGGTCATTGACCTGACCTGGAAGGTCACCCGATGACCTAGGACCTTAAAATTGGGTATCATCGGCTTCCTCTCGCCACGGGCAACACGCTCGTTTTTTCCGCGAAGCTCTAGCTCGATCAGGGGCCAAACGGCAAGGGGGGGTCCAACCGACCCCCCCCCCCCTACACATTAGAAGCTGGCAAACGCCGCACACATGCGAGGGTTAAGGCAAGATATAAATACGATAATAGCAAACCCAAAGAGCTAATCTTCATCCGTGTGTTGAACATAGAGTCATCCCAACAAGTTAACCCTCGCCCTGGCAGGGCATTTTTCATAACACGGCCTGGCAGGGGGGTCGATGCGACCCCCCCCCCCTCGCGATTGACTCCTATGGCACCTAGAAACACCAAATTTAGTAGGTAGGTGGGCCCCCTGGAGTTCTCACCCCTGTGCAAATTTGGTTGCTCTAGGTCAATATTTAGGGGGGTTTTGGGGGGTATAAATGTAAAAATTTCGCTAAAAACGGGTCAAAAGTTTTTCGCTTATAACTTTTGATCTAATTAAGATAGAGCAAAAAGAAAAGCACCAGTGAACTCAGCACGTCAAGGCGCGTCGAATGATTCACTTTTTAGCTTGCTTAATTGTACTTAAAGTTTTTCTTAAATTTTAAGTAAACTTAAATTAATAAATTAAGTTCAAGTTGACCAAATTGCATCATATCGCATATCATTCGATTCGGCTGATCACCAGGAACACAATGATACCATTTATTAAGCTCTAGCTTCATTATGTGCCAAGTTATTGGCAAAAACGTCATTTGACCTCAGTTGACCTCATTTGACCTGACCCATGGATAAGTACACCAAACAAAGAAGCAACAAGTGACCTGCTATTAAGTACCGTGGTTTCAAAGCACAAAAGTGATAGAACGAAGCGGATATCTCCAGTATTTTCCTAATTTAGTATTTTCCCATAGGCTTAGCATTACGACGTAATGACCTCTAACTGACCTCAGGTCAGTGACCTCAAAAAAGCCGGACTATATGTTATACAACTCGGTGAACTTAGCACATCCTGAAAGTTTGAAGGAAATCAGTCGAAAACTGTGAGTTGGACAGGTGCAAAAAGAAAATTGAAATTTGACCGTGACCTTGTACCGGTTTTTCTGACCTGGTGACCTGACCCAAGGTCACCCAGACCTGAAATTTTCAGGCCATATGTAAAAAGATTGCCCCATAGGCTGTGCCAAATTTAGCGGCGCTGCGCGCCGCCGTTTTTACGCTATTTTTGAAAAACCTTAGGGGGGGTCGCATCGACCCCCCTGCCAGGGCGAGGGTTAACAAGTTGAAAGAATAAAAGAGTCTAAAGTTGAAAACATGGCAAAGTCACCCCTGTTTACGTTACTCTGATAATATGACAAAGCAGGCATATACGCAATTAGTGCAACCCTGGCTGATCGCTACTAAAAGACACACCGAACCTAGTTTGACCAAATCTGCACCTAATCTGCACCAGATGTGCACCAAATGTGTACCAGATGGCCGTCGTGAAAACGGTTATTATACTCGTAAACCCTGGCCAGAATGAATGCTCCCCATGTCCATTCATAGAGGAACTCGAAACTTGCTCGAAACTCAATCAGTGCCCGGTAATGCTTATCGTGATTAGCTGCTCCCTGTTCATGCAAATCGATTGGCGACTAACAGTCATTCTAAATCCACCTAAGCCGTTCTTTATTTATAGGCTTGTGCGTCATATAGCATGGTTTGTCACAGTTGTCAGCGCATCACACGCTCATCATTGACTAGACGCTTGGCTGACAAGATATTGATCAACACAGACCACTTGCGAGAGACCTTATGGTTACAACTTACAATCGACGATAGTACGACGTCGTCCTGCCGGTCATATCATTCACATGTTACTCTCTCAGATCATCATCGACAGATCCATATGCGACAGGCCCGGGGCCTAAAAATGGCTCTACCTGACCACAAGGCACTACAAAAAAAAATGGTCGTGCATGACCAGAAGGCACTCTAAAGATGGTCGTGCATGACCAGAAGGCACTCTTAAGATTATCTTTCTTGACCACAAGGCACTCCAAAGGCACTCGCTCACATATTCAGAACTCGGACGCAGCACTCTTATGAGTTATGATTCAGGCAATGCCGTACATCGAAATCAGTCAGCAATGCGATATACAGTGGGTAATTCTCAAACTTAAGTGGTAATACTTTCTGGGGGGGGGGGAGCTTACACACAAAATTCACAATAACTTTTGCATCAGCATGGGCAAATCATGCATCCGAAGCGCCGCATAGGCATAGCACATTTGACTAGTTGGTTGACTTGATTGTTCAAAGACAGTTTAACCAGGATATACGGTTGAATACACCTGCATATGCATTAACCATACTTTGATGTAAATAAAACAAACATATCGCCTAAACGAGCAATGAACTAAAATATTTTACACTGACGCATACTGCAGTTACCGTTACCAAGGCTTGCAAGAAGGGCTTTACTCAACTGGAATATGCGAGTTACATTGCAGCGCAGACTAGATGCAGTTTGAGCATTGATTGGTCCATCAGGCCTGTAAACTGCCTGGTGACTAGATGTTTAATACAATATGGAAGCACAGTGGCACACATTATTGACTGCAATGCAAAAAATACCGACGATTTCCTCTTCACTTCATGGAATGCTTCTTGCACCACTGATATTCGGGTAATGGGGCCATATTTACTTTAGCTGTTCACGACCGTTTAATCGGCTTCACTTTTGAAGCAAGCATCATGTAACGCCACAAGTCTTTGGCCATAAGTTCCGCATCACATGGCCATGAGCGACACATATCAGCTTGGATCCGTCTGCGCCACATCACTGATCAGATTTGCACAGGCCTGCGCTCACACCAGCACATTCACCACCCCGATCCCCTAACCTCTGACCACCCTCACCCCATCAGAAGCCAGCCTGGAAGTGGGGCGGTGGCCAGTATTCAGCTCCATAACCGGCGTGAGGGGGCGGCTCGTAGTGCTCCGACTCTACGAGCGCCATGGGCGGCGGCGGGGGTCCTCCGGTGTACCCCTGTGCCGGCTCGGAATACACCGTGGAGGTGGCGGCCGGCCCGCTCGCGTAGGTGGAGATCCACGGGGTGGGCGTGGTGTACGGGGGTGGGTCGTACTGGCTGACCGGCAGGCCGTCCGCCATGCGCATCACGTTCTGCAGGTGCCGGATGTAGCGGATGGTGAGCCTGTGGACAGAGCGGCCGAGGGTCAGAGTACATCGTCAGGCGGCGGACACAGATCGGAGGCTATCTCTGCTGTCTGTTTCATCTTGGCTTCAGTTGAAAGCACAATACCTCTGTTTACTAGGGAGGCTGTAACATTTGCCCCGTTTACATAGGGCTCGTTGCCAGATAGTGGAATTCCGATACCGAGACATTTATTCCACTAACGAGACATTTCAGGCACGTTCCGCTAGTTCTGACGACCTATCTGGCCTTCTGGCCGGATAGGTCTGGCAATTATCCCTAGTCAACGGGACTAATGTGAGCAATGATTTTACATTGAACCTAGCCTAGAATATATGTATATCGATTATCGAGCGACGGAGCGACCGAAATTTATCGTTCTACCAACTGAGGTACGAGACGGGCCAACTGTTTGCACTAATATGCCTTCGCAATTTGAAGTCTTGCAGTATCTGTATCCATATGCAAACTAACGTCAGTGAAGTCACATATAGCGCGCGGCACTGCTGCGCCTCGTATGCACTGTGAGCCGTACAAAAATCGATATCTCACCGAACGACGCGACGCGACTCGGTGCCACAAGTGTTCCTCACAGACAAAAATCGATATGTGCCTACAACAGGATGAGGCTCCCACCGGTAACACAAAATACACATCCCACTACAATGCTGACTTACCGTAGACACTCGATTTTGGAGAGCTTCTTGCCGGGTGGTTTACAGTAGGGTATTCTCTCGCGCAGCGCCTCGAACGCCTTGTTCATATCCCGCATGCGTGTCCGCTCGCGGTCACAGGCGGTCTTTTTGTAGTCTGAAATATCACCGATCGTCATCAGGGAGCGCTGGGCTGGCTCGTGCCGAGGTAGGTCACGCTGGGATGGGTCGCACCGGGTCGTGGCGGGGCGAGACGCTTATATCACCTCATGAGACGGTCGATCGCGATCGCGACCGATTGCGGCCCCGCGCGGGAACTGATGGCGAGAGGGCCCGGCCGGCCGGCGCACAGCCGCATGTGAAACACATGTTTCTGTCACAGATGGTGGAACGAGCTGTCGGTGGCGGCTGGTGGCTGTGGGCCAGCCGGCCGGGGATGCTCGGCCGACAGGGTGTGGCCCGTGACCTGACCCGGGGGACCGCTCCTGACACGACACGACGGCAGGTGGCGATTGAGGTGCGCTGCTCCACCGCGATATGCGACACTGAGCTAACTACGAAAACACTCGGTATAACGCTTCGTAGGGCTATGCTACTGAAAGACAGAATGGAAAGCACATCGGCAGTGAAAAGTTGATTATCGAACATGTATTCCTTCAGTTCAAATCTTACATTGAACGTAATGCAAAATTGCAAACCAAAAGACGTCTTTAACACGCGCACCGACGGGGGGCGGATATCCGCCCCCCCCCCTGAGGTTTTTCGCAAATAGCGGGAAAACCGCGGCGCGTAGCGCCGCGAAATTTGGTACGACTATTTTCACATCAATTTTACACATGGTGTGCAAGTTTGAACCTTCTAAGTTTTAAGGTCAGGTCACCAGATCACTTTGAATGACCCAACCTCAAGTCACTTTTTTGCAACTTTGTCACCGTGCCAGAGCTACAGTAGATGTCGGAGGCCTTTGAAAGTCGCAGGATGTTATGAGGTCATTAGTAGCTACAATTTGTATATCTCGGAATTTTGATATCGGTGACCTAAGGTCAGGTCAATTTCTCGACCTCCCCATTATTACGAGCGAGCGAGCGCAGCGAGCGAAGTGAGTCTTTTCAATATAACGGAAAAATCTCAGTATGAGCGGCCCGGCCCGGCCCGGCCCGGCCCGGCCTGTAACGCTTTTGAGAGGCTTATATCTCAGCAACCGCTGGACCGATTGGCCTGCGGTCTTTTTTGTTGGGTAGCCCCATCCCTTCTACCCCGTAATTGACTACTTTTGATACATCTCAGTGACCGTCGTGGCACGTGCCACGTGAAAAGTCAAGGGTGTTCAAGCTGTTTCGCAAAAGTAGTGATTTTGAGAGGCTCATATCTCAGCAGCCGCTTGGGCGATTGACTTGCGGTAATTTTTGTAGGGTAACAGCATCCCTTTTACCCAAAATAGGATACTCTCGATGCATGTGGGTCACCCCCAGTGCACGTGCAAAATACAACAATAAGAGGTGCCAAATTTGCTCCCATTTCAGTAACTCGGTAATTACTGGGGCGATTTCGCTGAAACTTGGCATACAGGTAGGCACCCACCAGGCAATGCATTCCCATTAGTTGCGGTTAGGGTGCTACTGCACGTGCGCACGTGCAGGGGGCGTTTCCAGATCTCGAGAACGGCTGGGCCGATTGCGCTCAAATTTGGTACACGGTTGGGGACCAGTTAGTAGGGTGCCGTGCAAAAGTCATTTTGAACCCCGTTTGCACGTGCGCACGTGCAGAATGCCGCTTCCAGATCTCAGGAACGGCTGGGCCGATTGCGTTCAAATTTGGCACACCGCTAGCGACCGGTTAGAAGGGTGCTTTGCGCAAGCCCGTTGGAAGCACCTTCTCGCCCTTCCGCACGTGCAGGGCTCACTATCTCGCTCGCTCGTTCTTCGCCCAAAAGGCGTTTTACTGGTAAGTAAATGGGGGGAAAATCAACTTTGTTTTTACCACTAAAACGGGTCGGAATGGCCCCATATACCATACATGACTTCATATACGATCAACCTTCACTACCTTCACTACCTACTACTAAAACGGTCGGTTTTGCTGTTGGGCAGCTGTAAGGTCATGTGACGTCATCAAAGGTCACCAGCGGTTTTTTGCCAATAACTCCGTACAGGAACAAGATATAGCCGCGCGGATGGTCTCATTGTGTTCAGCTCGTCAAGACGCATCAAATGATATACATGATGACCTCGAGGTGACGTGACCTGAGGTCAACCTTTGACTTTGACCTTTCGAGGTCAACATAAATATCCGTGCGGATTGACGAGAGGATCACGATGATGCCCTTAGTTTGTCCCTATCTTGACTTATTCGAAAGTTATTCGAGAAAAAATCTCCCCATATCTCGTGAGCTTCCATATCTCGTGTAGCGCCGCCATTTTGACTTTTTTTACCCCTGTGACGTCTCTTTGACCTGACCTGAAAATGACCTTTGTAAAAATTGTAGACCTTGTCCGTGCGTATCCGATGCCATTTACCGCTTGTCGCTATCTTGCTTCGTTCTCGAGACCTCAGGGGGGGGGCGGTTATCCGCCCCCCCCCGTCGGTACGAAGTTGGCGCAGACCCTCGTCGGTGCGCGGGTTAAGAAGGAAGCTCACGAGTCATGCACATCTACCGGAGGCGGGTGGTGACAGCTGGTATGGTGTGTCACAAGTACAGCTGATGACGTACAACGCGACACAGAAATGGCATGCTTCTGACGTAAACTGTGAAGGGTATCGTGCAAGAAGTGTTAACTGTTAGTGAACACGCGGACCGGCGCGGTGCGCGGCGCGGCGGTGGCAGCGGCACTGCCGGCGTCATGGTCCCACCTGACTCACTCATCGAGCTGCCCCGCCAGCCTCTGTTCTTGGAGGGCTTGGCGCTGGCGCCGGGCGGCGGCTCGGTGTGGGGCGTGGAGCGCCGGGTGCGGGGCGCCGGCGGCTGGGCCGCGCCGCCCGGCGTCACCGGCAAGCCCTGGGCGCCGCCGGTCACCGGGTAGCCGGCCAGGCCGGGCGGCGTCTCCATGTAGCCCAGCGGGCCGGGGGGAGGGTAGCCGCCGTACTGCTCTGCACACGGGCCGTACTGCGCCGGGTAGCCGGCCCCCAGCGGGCCGTAGAAGGCCGCCGCGTCGGCCGGGTGCTCGTAGGCCCGCGTCGAGTCGAGATCCGTGTAGCTAGGCTCGTCGTAAACTGCAGGGTAGTAGGCCGGCATATTGTGCTCCCGCAGCATCTGCTCCTCCGGCGGAAACTCCGGCTGCACTCCCAGAGGACCTCCGGACTCCGGAGCGACGGTGGGCGCCGGAGTCGGGGCGCACAGCTCGGTCGTCTCCTCTTTGACCGGACAGTGGCTGGAGCGCTCGATCGGCTCCGGTGACGGGCCGGGGGAGGTCGGCGAGGAAGTCAACTCTCCGCTGTCTGGCTCGGCGGCCGGCTCTGCCTCGTCCAGGTGCGGCGAGCTGTGGTGGCCGGGGGTGGAGTCCAGGCCAGTCGGCCATACCGACTCGCCCTCCGGCTGGCAGGCGGCCGGCGGTGTCGGCGCCGACGGCACGGTGGCCGCGGGCGACTCCGACGACGTCATCTGGGGCAGCGTGAGGCACAACGTCAGAACAGACATCAGACGCGTGATGTAACGTCAGGACGAACATCAGCATCAAGCAGTGGTGGATCCAGGATTTCGTCGAGGGGTGCATATGGTATTGTGGTGCCCCCTGGCATTTGGTGCCCCCCCCCCCCCCCCCTAAAAAATCCACGGATTTCAGCCACTCACTTTTCGGGATGGTGCTCCCTCAGACCCGGGGAGAGTGCTCCTTCAGACCTCGGATTTCGGAATGGTGCCCCTGGAAACTTGGAATGGTGCCCCCGGAGACAGACTTCGGGATGGTGCCCCCTCTGCCCTCAGACCTCGGGATGGTGCCCCCAGACCTAGTCGCGATGGTGCCACCGGAGACCTCGGGATGGTGCCCCCTCCGACCTTGGGATGGTGCCCACGGAGAACTCGGGATAGTGCCCCCGGAAAACTCGAGATGGTGCCCCCGCGGACATCGGGATGGAAATAGCCCCACCCGAGGCGAGGGACAGAAATGGGCCTCCGGGAGACTCCGAAAACGGTACCCTATTCCGATAGACCTTCTGGATGGTGCCCCCTTAGGAGACCTCTGGGTTGAAGATCCCGTCGGTGACTTCCGTGATGAATTAAAAATTAAAACTTCCGTGATGGTGCCCCCCGTGAGGCCCAAGGGGGGCATGGCCCCCATGCCCCCCCCCCCCTGGATCCGCCACTGACATCAAGTGGCGTAGTGTAACGACAAAGCGAACATGCCAGCCAACGCGCTGTAACGGAGCGAATGCCGAGGAGCACAGTGTAACGATAGGTCAGATTTAGGAGGCCATATAACGGATATCAATGTTCTTACAGTGGGCATCAAGGTTTACTGCAACGGACGGTGCATCAAAAGGAATGAAATCTGGTGAAAATGTCGACTAAATGTCGACTACTATTTTTCGAGGATAACTCTCACGTTTTAGTGATAAGCTCATAAATGCATCACTTGCTGCTACGAAACGTGTAACTGTATGTAGATGTGGAACATCATTTGCAATCTCAGACCCCTTGCAAATGAACGAATAGCTGAGGCCGTTTGCAAACGGCCTGACCACCCACGCTGTTTGGAAAAGGACTGGGCTTCCAAAAAGCCCGCCACATAGATAGCGTAAGGAAGGGATGACAGGCTTGGTAAGCACTAGAGTTTCAGCGTATGAGCGCAATGCGCACGAGAGCGTAAGCGGTAAGAGCTATCCTAACTTAATATACACGACTTATCTGCATGCTAGCTAATGAGGACTTTTTTACTCATTTCGGCGCAAACAACACTTACGACGAGAAACAAGGATTATCGGTTCGAAGTCGAAGGCTTGCTTCAAGGAAAATGCAGGAAAATTAAGACGAACAATATGTTTCAGTTGAAGCTGGGACATGCAATATCATTGTTCTGTCTACATGAGCTTCTAGTTAGTTATCATTCTATCAAATGTGCTTTATATCCCTTGTTTATATCCACACGGCAGACACGAAACATTTTTCGATTTTAAATTTCGTATGACTGTGCCCAGCGTCGCGCTGCAAGTGGTCTGTCGCAGCGCACGTCCATGTGAAGATGAAGGGTATCACCACCACCTGAATACCACAGACAGCTCATCGCCTGGTGAGCTGTCTGAACACAGCTGGGCTGGCTGCGGTACTCGGGTACCGTGCAGTACGGCCCGGTACCGGGCCCGCTGGCGTCCACAGCTGCCGGCTCACCGGCTGTGTCCAGCAGCCCCAGCGGCCATGTGTGAGATGACACGTCTCACGCCCTGCCCCACACAACTGTTCCCGTGTGCGAACACTTGCTGGGCCTCACACTTGCAGCGCGACGCGTCTGGGGCGACCCTGCTGGGTCGGTGCAGACGCGTGTAGGGACGGGCACCGAGCGTGTCACCTCCGGGAGTCAGCACAGTACCTGGAAAGGTCCTCGAAGAGTGGAGATGGGTCGGCGCCGACCACCACCCTGGAGAACAGGAGCCACAGATGCAGCCGGCCGACTGTCCGTCCTGGCTGGGAGGGCCGAGCCGGCGGCACCGTCCCCCGCTGCCCCCTCCCGCTCCCTCCCTCCCTCCCTTCCTCGTCCCTCCCCCTCAGCATCGGGAGCGACGGAGGCCACCTTTGGAGCTTCTTTTAGCCGATGGCGGTAAGAGCAAATCCAGTCAGCGGAACATTCCGCCGCCGATATCCGCTCTCAGGACTCTCATGGTTATGTGGCATTGAATACGATAGATATTGAACTCTTTAATTAACATTTAAATATGTAATTTGAGCGCTAACATAAGCTACCGCCAACTGTTGGCGACGAGCGGCGCTACAGGTGACGGGGCGTGGCCTATCTCACCTGGCCCGTCGCGCCTCCGCCGCCGCCGCCGCGCCGACCCGAGCCGGTACCGCTTGCATCCAATGGCGGACGAGATGGGCAGGGGGCAGAGGGGCAAGGTTTGGGCCTGTGGAATAAATACACCGTTCTTATGCATTAATGACTGAAGTAGGGTGTTGCATGCCTACACATCATTGGCGACTATTTCGTCGCAGAGAGACGGATCGTGCTACGTCATTTTTGTGTGGTTAAACTGCGTTACACCAAGGCCTCAGATTTTCGGCTTCTTTGGCCAGAAAAAAAAACAGAATGCTCTCGTTTGATAGACAATTCGGCTGGATGCTGCGCGACACCAGTCAATATACCCTTGAAGAAATATGAATAAAATATTAAATGAGCACGAAATGAGCATTAACAGCTAAATGACCGTGGTGCAGGTGCACGGAAAGTCACAATAGGTATGTCGATAGCTAAACACAAAATAGGTACGGAACTTGGGTGCCCACCTCGATGAAAAATAGCACCACCCTAAAGAGCCATCACAAAAAGACGCCGATTTCTACCCCATTTATACCCATGCCTATTGCCGATTCCTAGCCCATATGATGTATAATGTATTTTGTCGTTTGGCGTATAGTAGCATAACATTTATGAAACCATTTTCAAGGCAAAATCTGCTGACAAGTCATGCCTCGAATACCTTTTCCTATATACGTTGCTGTGCAATTTAACAGAGCTGGGCAAGTGCGTTCCTTTAGTGCGTTCCTGCGTTCTTCCGTACCTACGTACGCACCGCCCTTTTTAGGAACGCAAGAACGCAGGAACGCAAAGTTTTTCAAAGGAACGCAAGTAAGAGGAACGCACCACCCGAAATTTTGAAGCGTTCCTGCGTTCTTGCGGAACCACCCGAAAAATTATATTGCTGCCAATGACCTATGTGTCAAATGTTTGAATCTCGAGTACGTGTGTTTACCGGTAGAGGCGCCACTTGTCGGTCGAATCGAAGAAGGCTTGCTTAGATTTAGTGGTGATGTTTACTATTCGATTCGGTTTCAGGCATTAAATGTGTAAAGATTTTTAGTGGTGATGTTTACTATTCGATGCAGTTTCAGGCATTAAATGTGTAAAATAAATATGATAACTTTTACTCAGATACATCTTTTAACTTAACCCGCGCCCCGTAGGGCTACCGGCGGACCTTACCACCCGTAGGGGGGGGGGCCGTTTCGGCCCCCCTAAGATCTCGGAAAGTTACCGGCCATCATATATGTTTAACAATAATGTCTATTGTTTTTAAGCAGGTCGTATTTTTGTTGAAAACCCTACGGATGATATTGGTAAAACGTATTTCAGATATTCGATTCGGAAAAGAGATGTCGAGTTGCTTTTCGGCCCCACGTCGCCATTCTGGGTATTCTGTGATCGATTCGCCCCGTGTTTGGTTGGGCCCGCGCCGCGTGGTTCGGCGGTATTTTTGAGGGAGGAACGCAGGAACGCAGGAACGCTAACGCACCGAACGAAAAAAAAAATTGAGGAACGCTATTCCAGGAACGCATTAACCGCGGCCGGAGGAACGCAGGAACGCTAACGCACTACCGAAAATCGAGGAACGCGCCCAGCTCTGCAATTTAAAGCAAACTTATTTCAAAAGGTTGTCAAATTATCTTTCTGTGCAAAAAAAAGGAATAAAACGATGGCTGTCAATCCTTGAATATCTGAAATATCACCAACCCTTATTGAGTCCGTTAGCGTTAGTCCATCCCATGCCATCGCCATAAAGACTGTTGGTGCACTAGCGAAATCCAAATGAATCGATTATTTACTGTACATCGCACAATGCATATGAGATCACCATGAATACTTAATCATTATCAAATATCATTGCTGGCGCTGCAAACTGAAAACCAGTACGAAACGCAGCTATCGGCGACGTTTGGTGCCTGTTCATGTTCGTCGACGCCTTAACTCACGAGCCGCTGGCGGGGGGGGGGGGCATTAAGTTGCCCCCCTCTACGTTTTGTGGAATATGTCCGAAACCTGATGAGCTACGAGCTTGAAACTTGAGATAGCTTCAAATGAATACCTAGGCAATGTTTGACGGAAGTCTGGTGGTTGTAGCACTTAAGATGACGTCACAGTGACATCATAAAGCTTTGTCGTTTTCCAATATGGAGCGTCTCTGATGTCACTCAGCATGAAACTCAACTGTAAATGAACTAAACAGCACCTGCTGTCATGCTGACACATCTAAGCACACTTCAAACTAGTTCCTGACCAATGACCGGCCCTTTATATTCGGTCCCATGTATCAGATACACCGTGAGGAGACTTAAGAGTCGCAAATCTATAATTTGACTTCTGACGTCACTGTGACGTCATTTCATATGGGACCAACACAAAATTGGAACACAACTTTGGCTAGGTATTCAGAAAGATGTGTGCAAATATTCGCTTCTCTATCTCTTCGCGTTGCGACGATATCGTCGCAGAAGTAAAGGAGAGTGGCAACTATATGCCCCCCAGCGCGCTAGGGGGGGGGGCACATTTTTCCAAGAGCTGCAGCGGTCGGCGTGTGGCGCGGAGGCCCAGCGACCGCCGGGTTAAAAAGGCATCGTAAGATAACTGAACCTAAAGCATTTTCATAGGTATTGAAAATTTTGCCTGGGCTAGATAATCTCTTGAACAAAATAAGGTAATCGTTGTCCATCATATAACCATGGTGTAATACATGTCATTTATAACACTATGATCTATTAACGAAAATAAATTGAGAGAGTAAAGAAGATAATTCACAATAATGTTAGCATTTGCGCAGTAACTTTTGACGTTAGGTTTGCTCGAGCTGTGTTTTGATCGATGAACATCAGACAACACGGTAACCCGGCCCTTCGCCCTCCGCCCTGTGCTGCTTTAGAGTTGGCCTTCCTGTTTGCTGACTTATGGAGTTGTCCTCTGCCCCACCACCGCCCCGAAACCCCTGCAGGGTCCGCCGCGAGACAAACGATGTGCTGCTTTTCAGCGAAGTTCTACCGTGCCTCTTCCCCTCAAAATAAAGACATAAATTTCCATTACTTTTATTCAGCAGAAAATATCGAAATACTCCAAGCAGTGCCTTGATCGATTATTTTCATAACACGCTTTTTAGTGTTTTTTAGTGATTCATAATGTCAAAATTTAAATGTTCATAATAAGACTTGTTATCCTTCTGTGTCAAATCCCCACTGACTATCAGGCAGGGCTAAGGTTGGGTCGACATGGGGTCACGAGGTCAAGTTGAGATTACTGGTCAACATATGTCGTTTGACATCACAGATCAGTGTCGTTCTCGGGGCAGCCTGTGGTCGGATTCAGGAGCGTTCATAGACCCTGCCGCTCACCATTTGAGGCACTTAAGCACCCCCTTAACCAGGCCGCACCCGCGGCATCCCTTAGGGCAGCGGGGACGCTGTGGGCGCGGTCGGACGACCGGTCTAAGGCACCTAGGCACTCGGGTGCAGCCCAGTTTGCCGCAGACGCGGCGAAGACGACACACCTCGCCCCGACGGCAGCGGGGACGGCACCTCAGCTGCGGAGAGCGACGCTGACGGCGAGGGCGGCCGCTGGAGTTACGGCGACGACGGTTGCCGCTAGTGTTACGACGGCGGCGACGGGGGCCGCTGGAGTTACGGCGGCGACGGTTGCCGCTGGAGTTACGACGGCGACGGGTGTCCGGACGCGGACGGGGCCGGGGTCTGATGGGTGTCGGGGACCAGCAGCGGCGCAGACAGCCAAGCTGGCAGCAGCTGGCTCCGTTCCTGCAGTCCAAGTTGCGCCGGCAGAGGCTTTTGACACTAGCCGGCTGGCAACTTTTGGTCAGCGGGCATCGAGGCCGCGACACTGAAACGGAAAGGGTGAGGTCAAGTCATCAGCATCGTACTAACAAGTAGGCATGTCTAAAAGTAGGTATCCAATGGAAAAAGTACATGGGTGATAGCGGTACGGGGCCTAATAATACTACTAATAATAAGTGTTAGGCATCGCTCTGAGATTCCTGTTGCGAAGTTGCCGCACGTGAGAATAAATTACCGCATTGCGATACATTTTTTTAGATATTTCATTGAGTAGGTCAAATCAGTCAGTCAGCCTCTGTCAGTTTTACCGATGCGTTATACGCACTTACGAAAAGGAACTCTAATAGGTCTCCAGTACGTACCAAAGGTGGTCCCTGCCAGGGCCACCAGCGCGGCAAGCAGCGTCAGAGCCGCCAGCGGCCTCATGTTGGCGGAGCTGAGAGCGGCTGTGACCGACAGCGGGCGCGGCCGGGTTATATTTCCGGCCCAGACCGACCTGTCAGCTGTCACGGGTCAGCTGTCACAGGTCAGCTGATACACCTCACCGCCCCACCTCAGCCAGCTGTTAGATCTAAGGTCAGCTGACAAACAGTAGCCAACATTTTCTTGTCAATCAGAAATGTTCCTTGGACGGCTGGTAAACAGCACGGTTAAGCCGTTTGACCTGTCAATCTTTATAATTGAGCCGAGCGGTCTTAAGTGCGTTAGCCGGAGCAGGAAGAATATGCAGTACCTTCGAGTACATTTATCTTATGTCATTCAGAGCAAAACATATCCCGCTTCTTTACTGAGATTTTATTGTTATTTGGTCAAGGCAAAGGCGTGAATTTG